TCTATCTATCTATCTATCTATCTATCTATCTATCTATCTATCTATCTTATCCAGTTGCCGGCTGGGATGCACCAGCTATTCCGGTGCAAGAAAATATTCATTTTCAAGCAAAACACTAGAGAACTAAGTGTTTTTGAAAAGGAGAACCACTAGGATTTTTGTTTTTTACGAAAAAAAGGTGGAAACCTAGCTGTGGTATTTATTGTAATTGCCGTGGCGTGTCACAGAAGAGTGTCAAAGAAGAAAATGGCAAGAGCAAAGTTTCCAGAAGCAGTGTTGGCAGAATTCTGCTTAAAAATGGAACAAGACAAAAGGAATAGAAGCAGAGGCTGCATACAATGGACAGATCCCAGAGGATGATGTTCAACAAATCCACCAATGGAGGAGCAGATAAAGATAAGCCAGACGAGCACGACAATCCAATCGACCCATCGGACGTGTCACGACCACAAGACACAAAATGCTTAGAAACTTAAGAACATTTGTGGCCCAGAATGAGATTCTAAACAATTCCAGTCAAATGCCATTGTGAGACAAAACCATACGTTTATGAAAGTAACTAATGGGAAACCTAAAACAGTGATAGTGGTCAAAGTGTAGCCGAGAGGGTGAGGACTTCTTAAGCCTTTCTTACTCGCCTTTTTTTAAAATTATCTTTCGAGGCACGGGATGTTCGTAGGCGCAGACTGAATCGATCTGGACCGAAGCGTGATGCTGCTTCTGATCCCAAACTTATATTCCTATGTCAGGGTAGACAGGTCTGGGGTCCAGGGGCGTGTCCTCAACACCTCACCTGGTTTCTCCATGAAACTAGACTAGAAGAAAAGAAGGGAACAAAACGAGTTCCTCTGCCCGCTGACCCCGCCCGACATCTGGATTCCTGATCAGCTCTGAGGGGAGATAAGGGAGGATGTTTTGTCTACACTGTCACCCTGTCACCAGTCACGTTCCTCCACATATTCAGCCTTCTCGGAATATTCAGAAAACTGGAAAAGCTGTTAACCAGGCTATTCCAGCATCCTCATCCCAGAGACGGTGAGAGAGAGTTTGAATAAGAGTGGAAGACCTGGTGTGACCTGCCCTGAGGCGGTGCCGCTGGAGCCCTTTTGTGGGATGAGCCCACGAGGAGCGCTCACGCGCACAGAGAGGGGACCCGGGCGCTGGAATGCGGCTGGAATGAGGAAGTTCCAGCGGACTGCTGGGAATGCTGGAGCTAACTCAATCAGCGCAGCACGGGGAAACTATTTGTCCGCGCATCCCTCGGGTGCCATCTTTCCTCTCCCTGGAGCGCGTGCGTCCCGACCTCTTGTCGCGAGGAGCGTGTCAGTGCGCGTGTGAACGCGCGTGCGAGGGAGGAAAGAGCAAGGCGACGAGTGGAAATGCGTGACCCGAAGCATGTCTTCATTCAAAGTGAAGGACGAACGTTACAGACGTTTCTAGAAAAAGTCCGAATGGTTTCCTTACCTCCAGGACTTGGACGTAACTTGAGGGGAACCACCCCCTGGCTCCATCCTTCTCTCCTTCCCACCAGCCTCCGGGAAGAGCCTGGACCACCTTAATGATATCCCCGGCCTCGAAGCTCAGTCCCTGCTGGTGCTGCTCCCCGCTGAACGGGTACAAACTTTTGCAGTACGATCCAGACATCGCCGCGGCTCAAACTTGCCCGCGCGGAGATTAGTTCCAGCTGGTGATGGGCACTCTCCCCACGCGCTCCCCGGAAAAAAAAAAGAAAAGGGAAGACAGTTGGAAATTCTTGCGGAGTGAACGTGTGCGTCTCGAGGCGTTGAAAGAACGAGTGATACTCGGAGAATCTGCCCAACAGGTT